TAAACTCAAGTTTTGTGTGCCAAACGATCGCCCCAACTAGTATGTCGTTACATATGAGATCTGTCATTTTTGGCTGTCCACGCAGAGCATCAGAATTTGTTCCTTTTTCTGAGTTGAGCATGCATCCCTTGAACACGTTTAGTTGATTTCGATTCAATATTCATGTGGTTTTTGGTAATGTAATTTTGTAGAAGTACTGTACCATAATTTCGATTCAAGATAAAGAATCATTTCTTGTAATGCCAAGACATTCAATTCAGTCCTAAATTTTGCTATCCCGTTTTATAGGCTATTCTTTTGTCTAAAGTATTCCTCCGTAAATTAGTTGGCTATGCAAAAATTTAAATTCTACTAAAGGTACGCAGTCGACTAAGTCGAGATAAGATCTTAGTGGTTTGGAGGTTTAAAGAGCTACTGAGCATCATTTCTGGGCTGAACTTGATATACATGGCAAAAGAAATTTATACTATTGCAGCCAATAAATAAACTAGGATGGAATAAAATCACCCTGACTCACTTTTGTTAGCATCCTTTTTGCAAGTATGTGATAATGCCGTTGTCAAATTCGTTGTCCGACCATTGTAGCCACCAAGACACTATAAAATATTCCAATTAAAGTAAAAAGTCCCAGCACAATCAATGCCATTATAAACAGCAATGGTAGCCCTGCTTCACCAGCACCTCCTAGGCAACCACATTCACCTGCCATACTTGCACAGCTCTCAAAGCATGTGGTGCAGTCGGTCCACATACAAAGAGTGCCGGGTAAATGACAGTCCGCACAGACACTACAAGAATTACAAACAAGCCGGTTACCATGTTAGGTACTGAGTATTATAGGGCCATTTACAAGGTTCAGTTAGTACTACATAGTACATACATCAAAGATAGCAATAAAAAAATAATAAATTAAAATAAAATAAAATAAAAAACTCGCTTCGTTGTGGCACACTCATGACAGCCTATAATCACCATTATATCACCGGAGGAAGTACATTTGCTAGATCCAGTAACCAAGCCAACAACCCCATTGCTTTATTTACTAATAAGTTAAATAGCCACAAAATTCGGACTTGGTTGTTCACAGTTTAGTCCCAAATCGTGTTGTCCTTGGCTTTGGTCCATTGTCTGTTTTGTTTTCTTTTACTTCCCTTGTGTATATATATATATATATATGTTTATAGTTATATACAATTGTGCGTACGTGTTTTTGTTTGTGGCTTCTTATTTGTGCGGGATGATGCTTTTGGTGTGTGGTGGTAGATGCCAAGAGGGGGCAATGATGAGGACACGACTCTTCATTGGAATCAAAAGCAGAAGGAGGAGTTGTTGCAACTCCTAGCAGAGTATAACCGTAACTACCATGGTCGGAAACCGGTCCAGAAAAATTGGGAAGATTGGGCTACTAAGCTACAAAAACATTTTAAGGATCCAGTTACGGCGGCCAAGGTTCAACAGATGCGAGTGCGTCTAAAAGGCAAGTTTGATAAGGAGGTTATACTACGTACAACCACAGGCCTTGGTTGGGATCCTGTGACAGGCGCAGTGACTTGTACGGACGAGTATTGGGAAGATTTTGCTAAGGTAATCACCAGTTGTTTGTTTTCCTTTCCCAAATTATTTATCATCAGTTAGAACATGTGTTCAACGTGCGTTAGCTTATGTGGATGTTATTTTTCACACAGAACAAGAAGTGGGCTAATGCTGCGAAGAAGCATCCCCTTAAAAATTTTGACTTGTACTACGAGGCCTTTGGTAGTACCCGTGCATGTGGTGAATTTGCGGTGGGATTGGAAAATCCCACCACCGCGCACGTAGACACAACTCCAATCCCGGCTGAAGAAGGTGAAGGGGGGGCGACGTCGCATTCGTTAGGCAGCGATGACATTTTTGTGACCACGATGTGAGCTGGGTTGAACAGTGCTAGGAAGGGCTTGAATGTTGCATCCACCTCTAAGGCAATTGGTAAGAAATCTGGACGCAGTCAGAAACGTCCGGTTGGCGATCCAGAAGCAAGGGCACTACTTGGACGACTTGTAGCCTCTATAGAAAGTAAGAATAGTAGCAGGGCTACCAGTTCCAGCGCTTCTCAGAACCCTGCGACCCCTACCACTCTGCGGCAGTGTACAGCGATTGTGAAGGAAATGGATCTTGAAGATGACACTGTCATAATATTCTTAGAGGCCATTGGGTGGTTTCCACACATGCAGCAACTCTTTTTGGATATGACAGAGACGCAAAGGGTTGGTTTCGTGATGAGAACCGTTACCTCTAAAACGAGTCAATCTACCCAATCTTGCACCATGCCCCCTCCATCCATGGCTTCCAACTTCATGCAGCCCCCTATATATCAAAACTTCATGCCGACACCCAACTTTTACCAACAACCGCCAATCTATGGCCAACAACCTCCTACCTTTGGCCAACCACAAGTACCCAGTTTCTCTCAACCCTCTCACCACATGCAACCACAACACCCACCAATCCAAAACATGACCCCAAATGTTACTCCCCATCCCCCTAACTTTCAATGTCCACCACCCTATTACATGCCTAGTTTTCCACCTAACTCTGGTCATTTTGGTGGAGGAAACAATGAGGAGTAGCTACTTGTTAGGCTTTTTAATTATGAGGCTCTTTGTTTACGAGACTTTTTATTTATGAGGTTTCTTATTTATGAGGCTTAGACAGTGTCGGACAATTTTCTTAATTATGAGGCGTTTAACTATGTTGTAATCATTTATTGAGTTGTGTTGTACTTCGAAACTATTACTTCGTTTGCTTTCTCTTTCAATTAGTGTTCTGATGACATGATGCAATTTGCATTAATGACTTTACTTGGTAGTGACTCTTATACTTTGCCATTACATTATTGCACAATTTCAACATTAACTATGTTGTACTTGTGACTTCTACTATAGCAGATTTGGCGAACAGGTTGTAATGTGGAACGGAGGGCCTTCGAACGCGTCGCCTGACAACACAATAGACGATGACTCAGATGATGACTATGAGACAGCAGGTGTCGCGGCTATGCTCTGGTATTACCAAACCTACGTTGAGAGACCCCCGCCTCAACCTAAGCACACCTCCGCGTTCACAGGTATTATGCGTGTTGATTACTTGCTTGATGGTCATGAGGACGTAATTCGGAATAAGATTAGGATGGGCAGTGACTGTTTTAAGCGACTGAGTTCACTCTTAGAACTTAAGGGATATCTGAGACCCACTAGGAATATGAACGTGGACGAGCAGCTTTTTATCTTTCTATACATTGTGTCCCAAAGCCAAAGCAATAGGGAATCGCAGGATCAATGGCAGCATTCTGGATCCACAATTTCCAAATACTTCGAGGCTGTATTGGCGGCAATATATAACCTGCGGCATGATTTCATAACACCCCCGAATTTTAACATTATTGATCCAATCATTGCTGCGAGTGGAAGCAAGTATTTGCCATGGTTTAAGGTATGTCATTACTCATATATCATATCGTCAGCGACTAACATTATAAGATTGGTAACCTCGTTGTTCTTAATTGATTACAGAATTGTGTTGGAGCTCTCGACGGGACTCACGTCCCTTGTGTTCCACCATCAGGTAACCCCGAAGTATGGAGGAATAGGAAGGGTTTTTACTCCCAAAATGTGTTAGGGGTATGTTCATTTGACATGAAGTTTACCTACATATTAGCTGGATGGGAGGGATCGGCACATGATGCGCGCGTTCTTTCATCCGTAGTGGGGGTACGAGAAAAAAAGTTCCCAACTCCACCGCCCGGTATGTCAATCCCAATCCTTGCTATATATGTTGATAAACAAGCATCATCGTTGGTTGCTTGACTTCACTAAAGAGTTGGCCGTACTTAATTATTGCTTTGTAATGGCGAATGCAGGTAAATACTACCTTGTAGACTCTGGCTACGCGAACAACGATTGTTTCTTGGCGCCGTACCGGGGGAGCACATATCACCTTCAAGAGTATAGGGCAAGACGTGGGCGTCCTCGAACTCAGCGTGAGTTGTTCAATTACACGCATTCGTCCCTAAGAAATGCTATTGAGCGCACTTTTGGTGTTTGGAAAGCAAGGTTCCGCATACTCAAGTGCATAAATAATTACCCAATAGAGAAACAGATACAAATTCCTATTGCTTGTGCTGTGCTTCACAATTTCATACATATGTACAACAATAACGATGAGCTACTGCACCAGTACACACGAGACGGAGTTCCAGTTTTTGAAATTGATCCAGAAAATGCAGATCAAGATGTTAATCAGAATCACAATCCTGATCGCGGAACGGAACAAAATCAGAACTCCGCACATCGTAGACAAATGAATATTTTGAGGGACGAGATGGCAGCTAGCATGTGGGCGGCATTGGAAGCATATCGCAATCGGTAGTTACATATTTGTTCCGCAATTTTGACTACCGTATTTATTTTACAATACGTTGTAATGAACTTATGGACGTTTCTGTTATTTATGTATATAGGTGTATTAATGTGTAGTCAAAAAATCCATGTCAATACTTGCAAAATTTTAGAGTTATGTTTTTGTCAAAGTGAACATAAAACTCAAGTTCACATCTCACAAATCATCCAAGTGAACACACAATTCAAGTTTCAAACACAATTCCAATTAAACTCACTTTTTTAACTCCAATCTTGAATTTGGAGTTATTGAAAAGAACGCAACCTTTGTCTCCTTTTCCCAAACCAAAATAAGATACATGGGCCTCAAAATGTGCCCATCACGGTCCATTTCAATGAACAGCATCCAGTGCAGGCCCAGCCCAATATGAAACAGTGGAAGTGAAAAAGAGTGTTTGGTACGGTTCCCGCTCTTTGTATTTGTGTTTTCCGCGCCACGGAGATTACTCGTCAGATTTCACATTCAGATCTTAGAGAGAGAGAGAGAGAGAGAGAGAGATGTTTGGGAAGATAAGAGTGTCGCCTTCTTCATTGGAAAGCTTGGATAGGCCTCCTTCCAAGATTCTCAAGGATGATTCTCTCTCCATCTACGGTACTTTCTGTTTTCAATCGCAATTCTTAAATTTCTTCGCTAATTACGTGGATTTGGTTGTCGATTTGTGATTAATTGGTTTCGAAACCTAGTTTTCCTCCATTTTTTGTGGTTCCTTTTTCTGATTAGTCTTCTGTGACTGGGTTTATCTGCTTGTTGGAAGAGAAAATGAAGGAAAATATGAAATTAACCATAAAGTCGGAATTTTTTTTAGCACTCAAGGAAAAACGCCTGGATTTGACTTTGCAGCGGCTTGTTCTGTTTTTCAAGGAATTTTTATGAAATTTTGTTATGTATGCTCTCTGAAAATAACAACTTTTATGCTAACAAAAAGTGAAAAAATTATCTTTTGGGTGAAATTCATGAAATTTATGTGATACATGACAGTTCATATGTATGAATCTGTTTAAAGATCTAAAGTTAAACTAGATATGTGTTGCAGAACATTACTGTTGGAATTTTACCCAGAAATCTTGAACTTTATTGAAAACCAAAGAATACTGACAAAGAGAAACTATGGTAGTGTTTGGAGGATGGGTTGCAAACCACCCTAATTTGGGTTGAAACAGTATTTTTTCTCATAAAAAATTTGAATTTAAAAGTTACGCTACTTTGTTTTCTTTCACAAATATAAATTCTAGTTCAAACCACCTGGTTTGAATCCACCTTCCAAATGGCCCCTATGGCTCTCACAAGAAACACAAAAGAGAGAAAATGAGAACACCATAAATGAAGTAACTCTCAACAGAGTTTTATTGAACTATCCAATTACACCACATTGTCCAATTAGCCTTTTAATAGTGAACATCAGCTATATATTCTACAACAGATTTACAACAGAGACTATAATTCGATTGGTTATATCTGATCATGACAACCTAACTGCCTAATTAGACTAAATAATTCTCTACAACACAGCTCACATAAGACACTTTCTATTTGCCAATCTCCTATTGCCCGTCACCCTTCCTATTCTTCTGATTAAATCTAATCCAACAATACAACAATTACAAGCCGGAGTAAAACGTGGAAGAACTTTTATTTCTTCTACTGAAAATGGGTTTACTTAAATTATCTGTTTCATCATTTCTAATATACATGTAACAAAGAGTTGCTTCTTCTGGCTGTGTGTAACTTTATATTACATTTTTAAGTGCACTACTATGGTTGGCCTACTGCAATTGTGAACGTTGGATTTGGTAATTGAATAATTTCGCCACATCGGAAGCAAATGTCTTAAATGAATAATTTCACACTTCATTGCAAGAACTTTAAAGGCGATTCATAATTCTTTCTTTCCCTTGTTTTTGGTTCAGAGGCCACACTAGTCAAGCTTAAACAAGGTTCTCGACGCGATTCAAGTCCACCCTCCAAGCAGATAGGGAATGTAGATGTTGGTTCCATTTCAAGCTCAACCAGTCTTGAGCCAATGAAGATAGATGTGAGTTCTTCTTCTGCCAGCAGTTCACAGGATTCTCCAGAGTTCACAACCTCTCTCAATGAGGAGGTAATCTCAATCGATACGGATTGTTATTCATCCATAACACATCCAAGTTCTAGAAACACCCTTTTAGTGAGCAGTCCTAAGGAGCAAGATGAAAGGACCTTGTCGATTATTTACCTGTTTTCTAAATTTAAAAATGCTCATCATGCTGTTAACTTAGCCTCTGAGGATTCAGTGAGCACAATGGAGGATGGTTATTCTGTCGGTATTTCTCCAAATTTCAGCAGTTGTCAATCTCTTGATAGCACAAAGCAGCAATCGGAACAAGAGTTTGTCACTTCACAAGTGATTTGTGAGCACTGAAATGGGTTCTTGACCTGAAATCTTTTAACCCTTTGAACGTCGCTGAATTTTTGTACCTATAATCATATTTAAATGAAACTTAAAAAAGGAAGGTTGATCTTGATCATTTTTGAGCCCGCATGGATGTCAATCTATTTATTATTTTGCACCCCAATTTCAGCTTATGTATGTGTATGATCACATTCATATGTCCTCTCCTTAAGGTGAACACAACATAATTACATGTACACCCCAAAAGCCAACGGTTTGTAGAGTAGATTTTCCCCCTGTTAGAGGCCAATGGCAACAAAAAGTTTAAGGCTGATATAGTAAATTTATCGATCACATGTAACAGCAATATAACAAGTAACAACTGCTGTATCTTTAGCCAACAGGGAAAAAAAACTGTCAATTCTACCTTATTCTATTGTGAGCCGAAGAGCCCTAAGGATTGGAAAAAAAAAAAAATGGTAGTTTGATCTCCGCAAGCGTCTTACTTGGTCCATCCAAAATTATTTTCTCCATACTTGTAATTCTGGTTCAGAACAATGTTGTTATTGGTACCATTGTTGTTCCATTACTATTTTACAATCAGTTTCAAACACATTCAGTTAAACTAAAGGGAAACTGTATTAGAAGCCACAATAGAACGCAGAAAACCCAAAGAATCGCAAAAAAAAAATGAAGAGAGGAGGAAAAAGAGAAGAACAAGGAACATGGCCAAGCCCTGTGTGGCCCTTTTCTTTGGTTTGAGGGTCTTCTCCTTTGTATGGATGTCTCAAGTACACAACTTAGCCCACAGCTTTATACGTGTTTGGAGACTCTGGTGTTGATGTTGGCAAATGATAACATAACACTTATGGTAAATCGAATTATGCACATTATGGTGTAGATTTTCCCAAGGGATTAGCCACATGTAGACCCACATGGCGATTTTTTTTGTGATTTCATATAATAATATATCATTTATAGAAATGAAGATGATATTACCTATCAGGAAAACTTTTGAGGCAATTTCTACTTGGATATGTTTGATTGAGAATTGGGATCACGAATGTAGAGAACTTACGCGATAAGAGTGAGGACATTTGGGAGAAATATTTTGACGTGGTGCATCATGACCGTTGGCTTAAAACTTTCTCGATGAAATCGATGACACAACCGGCCATTCTTTAAATTTTGGGGAAATTTTTGCAATTTCATACCAAAGGACAAAGTAGTAACGACACTACCTATCCGGAAAATTTTGAGGCAATTTCTACTTGGATGTGTTTGTTATCTTCAGAAATTAAGATCGTATTTTGAAAGAACTCGAGCAATAAAATCGGTGTTACCACATACAATAACATCAATTACATGTTCAACAACTATAGTAACAAATCTTTGAAATTAGAAAGAATGCATTAATAAATTAATGACATTTTAGAGAATCTTTATGAATTTTATACCATGTATAACACACATAATTAAGTTAAATATTAATTATGAGAAGGAGAAGAAGGAGAAGAAGAAGGAAAAGAAGGAGAAGAAGAAGGAGGAGGAGAAGGAGAAGAAGAAGGAGAAGATATCTAGAGTATACAAAACTTCTTCGGCAGTACATTTGGATTTTGGATTTAAAAAAAAAAAAAAAAAAACTACGAAATTCATGACTCTTCATCTTCAACAAAGCTTGTTACTTCTCCATAACGTGTGCAATTAATGTGTTGAACAGTTTCTAGCTGACCCACACATAACCCAGCAGCGGACAAAACAAATCATTGATTTCCTCACGCCCGGCAACAATAAACCACCGTGCCGGCACGGCGCATTTGAAAGCAGAAGTTGAAAATGACATGATTTCCTCTTATTCAGATCCACCGTGCTCCAAAAAGCCGGCAGACTCGGGGTACTGCAGCTCCCGCCCCCGCTCCTGCAGCGTCCAAAGGGTCCGCGGGGCCCAACTCAGCAACGCCGGTGAACAATCGTGGCCTGATGGGGGATGATGAGGCTACAACATAAAAACTTTTTTAAAAAAGAAAGAAGAAGAAAGAGAGAAGAATAAGAAGCTAAGTGAAAAAATTTTATTTGTCATGGTTTGTAAATAAAAATAATAATAATTATTATTGGCGAATGAATGATCAAGCAAAATTTGAGTACTAGAAAATATAACAAAGTCTTCCTTTGAGTTCCAAAATACTATCCTTTGTAAGCAAAAAAATATTTTGAAAACAAGACAAATTTTTCCTAACATTTTTCTTTGAAAATTTTGGAGGCTAATTCTTATCACAAATGAAAGAAAACTTAGGACAACCTCTACTTTGATGAGTTTTCCTAGAGAAAGTGGGGTCATATCTATAGAGAAATTGAGCAATAAAACCGAGGACTTTCGAGAGAATATGTTGACGTGGCCGATGAAGATTGGCATAAATCTTACTCAATTAACCAATGAAAAATTTGGCAATTCTTTAAATATCTGGGCAATTTTCATGTGATTTCATACCATTTATAACATATCAGTTATAAAAATTAAAAGGTAGGAATGACGTTAAGCTTTTTTTTTTTTTTTTTTTTAAATTAACGCAATAAAACTCAAGCTTTTATTCTATTAAAATGCTCATACAATTAAGATACAGTATAAACAATCATATTGTTACTTGTTACATGTTACGTTGCTCCTATTTTATAGCTCCTTATTGTTAACGTTAGGTACGAGGGCTGCCTCTCCCTCTATCTCACCACCCGGAATGTATTGTATAGTAGTGTTTTGAAAAAGCATGTGTTAAGCATGAAACTTCAAATGATTACTATACATTCATTTATTTCAGTATGGAGTCGACGTCGGTTAAGTATAGCATAACAAGTTAATAGAGGTTTAACTCTTTATCCAACCCGACGATTAGGTTCATCTGATCAATCAGAGCCGTCTTATCTTCAAGCTGTGGCTGCTGTTGTGATACCGAAATGGTATCAACGATTTTGAATACAGGGTTGGGAGAGCAATAAGGAGCTATAAAATAAGAGTAACATAACATGTAACAAGTAATAATAAGATTGTCTATACTGTCAGAGAAATCTTAATGAATCTATTGACGAACTGTAACATACAATTTAAAATTATAAAGGACACGCGTTAACAAATGATATTTTTTGAAATAAATAAAAGAGAAAAAGTAAAATATTTTAACTGTTGTGAATTTTAATAGATATGGCTAAAATCGAGAATAACTAAAAACTTGAGCAATAAAACCGAGAACTTTCGAGATAATATTTTGACGTGGCCGATGCACATTGGCATAAATCATACTCAGTAGACCAATAACAAATTTGGCAATTCTTTAAATTTCAAGGCAATTTTTATGTGATTTGATACCATTTATAACATATCAACTACGCGTAAAATATAGTAATGATGTTACGCTTTTTTAAAAAAATTAAAGAAAATCCAATGACGAACTATAATATATAGTTTAAAATTAAAAAGGATACGTGTTAACAAATGATATTTGTTTTGAAATAAATAAAAGAGAACAAAAAAAGTATTTTAACTATCATGACTTTTTCATTGATGTGGCTAAAATCGAGAACAATTGAGAACTTGAGCGATAAGACTGAGAACTTTCCAGAGAATATTTTCATGTGGCCAGTGAACATTAGTGTAAAACTACTCAATAGACTAATAAAGAATTTGGCAATTCTTTAAATTTTGGGGTAATTTTCATGTGATTTCATACCATTTATAAGATATTAGTTACGGAAATTAAAATGTAACAATGACGTTACATTTTTTTTAAAATTAAAGAGAATCCATTGACGAACTATAATATACAGTTACAAAGGATACACATTAACAAATAATATTTATTTTGAAATGAATAAAGAACAAGTAAAATATTTTAATTGTCATAACTTTTTAATTGATGTGGCTAAAATCGAGAACAACTGAGAACTTGAGCGATAAATTGAGAACATTCTAGAGAATATTTTCACGTGGCCAATGAACATTGGTGTACAACTTACTCAATTGGGAAATAAAGAATTTGGCAATTCTTTAAATTTCGAGGTAATTTTCATGTGATTTTATACCATTTAAAACATATCAGTCACAAAAATTAAAATTAAAATGTACTAAAGGCATTATACTCTTTTGGATGTTAAAGAGAATCCAATGACGAACTATAATATACAATGCAACAAAAAAAAAAAAAGAATTTTTTAGTCACAACAATTTCTTTTGATATTTTTAGTCAATATTTTTGTATTGCTAAATGTCACTTTTAGTCACAACCTTGTGACTAATATGCATTTAGTCTTAACTTTTTGTGTGATTAAAACTTTTATCCTCAGGGTTTTAGTCATGAAAATGTTTTAGTCATACCAAAAAGTTTGCGTGACTAAAAGGTCCGTGGAAAAAAAATTTCGCTACACAAATTTGTGATAAGGGCATATTAATCACAAGGTTGTGAGTAAACGTACATTTAGTCACACAAATATATTGTGACTAAATATTATAAGAAGATGTCGTGACTAACACTTTATTATTTTTTATTTGTAGTGATGCAATTTAAAATTGGAAAGGGTACACGTAAACGAATGATATCTTTTGACAGAAATATGAAAGAACAAGTAGTATTAGGTTTTGCTACAACATCTCAACCAACTTGGCATGCTCTAATTAAACGGGTATTAATATTCGTTAGTGTATATAGCTCTAAAATTTTACTTTTTACTCTTAATTAATATTTTTTTAATCAAATAATTATATTAATCAGAATGGTATTAATTAAAATTAAAGAATAAAACTTCAGACTCATATATTTTAAGGGTAAATTTCACAATTTTCTCTTTTTGAAAGCTTATTCCTTTTCCTTTTCTTTTCATTTTCCCGGCAACCACCTTCGTTTAATTACTGAGAAACCTCCATCGTTGCAATTTGCTATTTATTTAATCCTTTCATTTCTTGACTCTTCGATCTCCCCGTAAAGGCTGCGAAAAGCTCACACCTCATAATTTTACTTGTCACGTTTTGTAAATAACAAAATAATAGTACTTGTCCCTAACGAAGAATTTTGAGAAGTAGAAAATATATAACAAAATTTAGGCCCCGTTCTTTTCGCTGATTCGAGTTTTGCTACAGTAAAAA